TGTAGAACAATCGACGTAGGTTTTATCTCTCCCAACCCTAATTTCTCATACACCGAGTAAGGAATAAGATTAACACTTGCTCCAAAGTCAAAGAGTGCTCGCTCTATCACATTGTTTCCAATAGTGCAATAAATTATAGGAGCTCCAAGATCTTTAACCTTTATATGAGTGTTGTACTTAAGAATAACACTGACATACTCGGTGAGACAAACTTTCTTAGGAACTTGGCTTTTGGATTTTCTTTTAAGAGTGCATAAGTCCTTTAAAAATTTAGAATAGGCTGAAATTTGCTTTATAGTATCGAGCAGAGGAAGATTGATTTTGACCCGCTTAAAGACCTCCATCATATCTTGAATTTTCTCCCCTTGTTTACCAAAGTGGGAGGGTTCCTTGAGACGTTCGTGATAAGGTGCTTTTGGCTCATAAGCCGTCTCAGGGTTAGGAGCAGATGAAGAAGTGACTCCACCTTCAACTCCTTTTGTAGATTGTGAAATAGCACTTGAGGAAACATCATTGGGATGTGGATTATGAATAATAGGAATTATGGGAATCCTAAGCCTTTCTTTTTCCTTTTTTAACTTGGTTATCAAACACTCGACCACTCCTCAATTTAATGATAGCCTGAACTTGCTCATGATGAATACCTGAGGAATTGGTTTCATCAATCATGTAAGTTTGCCCTTTCGGGTTGGCTATTGGCTGACTAGGCAGCTTTCCATCCTCTTTTCGAGATAGAGTACTCGCTATTTGCCTAACTTGTGCCTCTAGCTTTGCTATAGCTTGAGAATGAGAATTAAGAAGTTGGGTATTAGCTTTTAGATCAACAAAAGCATTGAGTACTTGTTCCTTAAACGCAGAGTTTTTAGGAGGAGGTGGAAGATTCGGAGCTTGAGTGGGTTAATTCATAAACTGAGGTGGATGGTAAATACCAGATTAGTTGAAAGAATTATTTTATGGCATAGGATTGGATGAATTTTGATACTGCCCCTGAGGTTGGGGAACAGTGTTTCCTTGATTTGGATTACGCCATGATAGATTGGGATGATCTCTCCAGCTAGGATTATATGTAGAAGAATATTGATTATAGGTTGGTCTAGAGAATGCAACATTCACTTTCTCCTGTGGGATCTCAGGTGATTGTCCCATCATAGGGCATCAGCAAAATGGTTTGGATTAATACAAATGGAACAAACTTCCTTGGGTAAGGTAGTTTGTGGATTAGCAACATAAGCAAAGCCAGAAGATAAAATTTGATCGAACCTACGGTTTAAGGCTTCTATTTGAGCGGCTAACTCACTAGATTTATATACCTCATAAAGTTTTTCAACCTTATGCATTCCAGGTGAAGACCTAGACCTAGAGGAAGAAGCGTGTTGTACTAAGTTCTCACTTAGGGCCTCAAACAGTTCCCAAGCGTCAGCCGGACTCTTTCGCAGAAAGGCTCCATTGTTGGAAGCATCGACCATATTTCTATAAGAATTAGTAAGACTATCATAGAAGATCTGTATTAAGTGCCATTTAGCAATATCATGGTGTGGATACTTTCTTAGAAGATCGTTATATTTCTCCCATGCATTATGGAATTGTTCTCCCGAGATTTGGGAAAATGCCATGATTTCTCTTCTCATTTGCGTGGTTTTACCCACAGTGTAGTACTTCCTCAAGAACTCCTGTTGCAACATATCCCATGTAGATATGGAATTTGTTGGAAGGGACTGCAACCAAGTTCTTGCTTTTTCCTTGAGAGAGAATTGGAAAAGTCACATTCTAAAAGAATCATTGGTAAGAGTATTCAACTTGGTAGTGGAACACAATTCCAAAAACACATCCAGATGCTTATAGGGATCCTCTGTTGTATACCTATGGAAGGTAGGAAGCATTTGGATCATAGTAGGCTTGATCTCAAAATGGGTTGTATCAGCATCCGAAAAAACAAAGCATGAAGGAGAAGTGTACGTGGTAGGAATAAATGGTCCCTCAATTATGGTTGTAGAGGGACAGGTAGAACCTGTTTTCCATTCCCATTACCATTATTACCTGGTGCATTACGTTGTTCAGCCATATTATCAGAAGAACTTCCTATCGAATTTAGATATTTCTTAAGCTTTCTTAATTGTCTAAGAGTTCTCTCTATTTCAGGATTATGCACTAAAAGTGTTGTCCGATTATGGCGAGTTAACGTGCACTGGTTCCACTAATCCTAACAGTAGTAAAAATAAAATATTCGAAGCAATAGAAAACAATAAGAACTCACAAAAAGGTTAAATAAACCGAAGCTTTTTCTCCCTCAAGCGTCTTGTACCTGAAAAGAAAAAGAAGTAAGGTGAGATATCAGAGAGTCCAAAGACTGGTAAACCAAAATAACTAATTAAAAACTAAAATAAAAACTAATTTCTCCGGCAACGGCGCCAAAAATTTATTGTGTAATTTTACTCGCAATAGAATGATTCCTTGCAGAATAGTGCTACAAAAAGAGATGTCGAACCCACAGGGAGAAAGGATTTATATTTAGTCTTTAACTTTGTTCTATGGTTTACAGGTAACTTGGTTGGAAAGTTTGTTGGTTGTCATGGTTTAACAAACTATAATTAAAAATTAAATAAAAACAAAGTAAATAAATTGAGTGATCAGAGAGAGATGAATCTTAGGGCTTTGACTTCACCACAACCATATACTACAGTTAATTATACTAACTCTGGGAATTTAATAATGAGATTTTCCAAAGGAATTGAACTCAATAACATTCGTTCAATTCGGATTTTAAAGAAAGATGTTTTACAAAATTAGCTAACTATAACCTATCTGCGGTTAGCGTGGATTATCCGCCTACCTATTCTAACTACTTTAACTACGTTAACTATGCTGCAAGCAATCCACCTTTCCTAAGCATAGATTATGAAAACATTCTTTTGCAAAATACGTTGGAATACCATTATAAGACCTCTATTCTTGTATCCAGTAGGGCTCCGCCAGATACCGTACAACAAGGTAGGTTGGGAACAGAAAATAGACTATTATATATAAGATAAGGTAGTAACAGTTTATAATCTATTAAAGTATGAAAACCACTTAAGTTGTCTCAAGTGCTCATATTCATATAATCAAGAAAATACATATATTAAAATTAATCCCAGAGTTAAAACAATCAAACCATAGTATTTAGGTTGGGTTATATCAGTGCCCTAAGAGAGAAATTAGCTACTCATGACAAGGTTGGATATCATTTGTGTTGAGTTTATCTCCTTCATCACGGACGACAGTTCTCTTCTCAGGATCTTCACTCTTAAGGTTGTAGAAACCCTAAAAGCCACCACACTTTCAGCCTTCTGAAAACATCGACAAAGAGATTGAAATTTTGGACCCCTTCTATCAAGGCTTACGCCTTCTTTTATAGAAGAAAATAATATTTGGTGGGCTTTTAGGTCTTCTGGCCCAATTGGGATGAGATATGGTTGATAAAGAGAGCAATCCCGTACTTTAAATGTGACATGTCATGGAAGGCTCGAGCTTCAGGAACACAGGGCTCGAGCTTTAAGGTGCAGGCTTGAGTTGCAGGAACAAGGCTCAAGCCTCTCTAAATGGATGCTCGAGCTTCAGTGAATGGTGTTGGATCTTCATTTTGACACTTAGCCAATTTTCTTCAACTATTTTCTGAAGCGTCTTTTTCTTCAACACTTAGAATATTTCTGGGACTGGTTTCTTTTAACATTGCTCGATCCAAACTTCTTGGGCTCGAGCACTAGGTACAAGGCTTGAGCATTTGGGACACCAGGCTTGAGCTTCAGGACACTAGGCTCGAGTTTTAGTTGTTAGTGCTCGATTCTTCATGGATGGTGCTCGATCCTAGAGGTGAGGCACGAGGCCTGGGAGCACAGCGTCACAATTTAAATCAACTTTTTAATTTTCGACGCCTCATGCTCGAGCTTGAGGGTCAAGGCTCGAGCACCTTTGGTTAAGGCTCGAGCTTCAAGGTACGAGGTTCGAGCTTTTGAGCCTTGTTGACTTTTCTTCTTTCTTTGTTGTGATGCTTGAGCCTTAACACTTGTGCTTGAGCTCTAAGACTTGAATATCTTCAAACTTCACCATTTAAGCTCTCGGCTTGCTCTGAATGACCGACAACGACTCTGTAAGCTTCGATATCATCATAAAATCTCGATTTTAACCATTTCTCTAGGAAAGTACCCACAAACACACATTAAACATAAATTAGTCTAACTATGGATAAAAGTATCACTTTAGGCCTTAACAGATATGTATTTAGGGGCTCGAATATGCATATATTTAGAGCTCATCAATCACCGCCATCCCGTGTTATCCTTCTTGTTCGTCGTCGACCGAGCACATCCTTGTTAGTTGTCGGTGGGTTGTTCAGAGGTCTCTGCTGCCGTCGTTTCACTGTTATCGTGCTTGCCCCTTTATCATTGTTCACTCCTTGCTCGTTAGAATTGCTATGGGACTTTGTTACGGTCGATCCGTGCGTGTGGATTTGATCGACCTCCATTTTCTCAGGGCTTTGTTGCAGCTCCCTTATCATCGTGGTGGAGGTAGCGGCGGTAGTGAATACATAGTGGTGGGTGGTTTTGGAGATGAAGACGATGGTGGGTTTGAGGGAGAGGCAGTGTCGGCTTGTTTGGGATAGGGTTTAAGAGGAAAAAATTGGATTTCTCAGATGAGTTGTACCCGATAACCCATTTACATTTATTTGTTTTAAGGGTATTTAAATTTATAATTTAATTTGTCAATAGTAGCAAAGTCAATTCACCATTGTCAGAGCATCTTTGTCAACTTTATCAAACTTGATGAGTGTCATTGTCCAAAAATAGACCAACTCATATATGACTTTCTTACCCTAAACCTAAAAAAATGTCATTATACTTTATACTAAATAATACGTCGAATTAAGTTAAATTCAATATACCTTAATTTTAAGGTGAATGTGTAAACAAATGGCAATTAAATCAACATCCTCCAATTTTATAATGGTCCCGTTCAACCAAACGCAGTCTCAAATTTAAGCAAAGCCCATCAAAAGCAAAACAAACTTTAGGCAACTTTCTCCGCAGAGGATTTGCGTTCTTTACTACAACCTTATTTGTGTACGACTCCGACTGCTGTTCAATTTGTTAGGTAAAACCCTCCTTGCAACATCAACGGAATAACTGAGGGTTTGTCTGAGACGAGAGCTGAAATTGGATTTCAAGGTAAAAACTACTAACTTTCACCGTTCAGCAATCGTTGGCAACGAGACCAAACCTGGCTTCGGATATTTGGAATCGCTTGTTCCCTCCACAAACACGAACCAGAAGGTCGTCTATTGGACTTTCAATTTCTCAATTGGGTTTGTTCGGTCGGCGGACTTATCCTGCAATGGATTTGAACTTCTTCAAGTTTTGTTCAGGCCTCAAATTTCTCGGCTACTTCATGATCCTTTTTGTCGCCGCTATTATATTCGTTTCATATTACGCCGTTGTTGTTCTCACTTGGGCCCCACACCTGCTACAAGGTGGCTTCACATCCTTTCTATCATTCATCATAATCGCTGTATTTCATGTCCTGGTATGGTAAATCACTTATTATTTTCCATTTTTCGTATATATTTATTTTTTAAATAATTCTTCAGTTGCTTTGCGTTTGGAAGCATGGAATCTGCACATTGGAATTGGAGAAAAAATTAGTTTGAAGAATGAAATATTTAATTTTCCTCCAATTCCATGCTACCAAGTTGTTATGCTGTCTTTATAATGTTAATTACGTAGAACCTCAACTTGTTATCTGCAGATTTTTTTCATAAGTTTTATATTTTATTAGGGAGATAAATAGTACTCTTAATTTTGGTATTTGGGGTTGTTGATCATCTGTTAAGAAGTGAACGCATCCATCCCATTTTGCAGCTTGTATTGTTATCTTGGAGCTATTATATGGTAGTCTTTCGGGACCCTGGTTCTGTTCCCCCAAACTGGAAACCGGTATTAGAGGAGGGTGGTCCTAGGTCGTCATTACCAGATTATGTTGCACCTGAGAACTCCACTTCTACTTGGTCTTCTTCAGATGGGCTGGAAAGAAGACCAGCAGTAGGATACTGCAGTCAATGTCAAAATGGCAAGCCACCACGTTGCCATCATTGCTCTGTTTGTAAGCTAATTTCACTCTCTTTCAACTGAGTTTTCCTATTTCTAATTCACTTCAGTATTTCTGCTAATGCTCAGCTTCTCCCTGTTCCTGTTAGTTCTATTAGTTGCCGTGTAAAAACTACACGGGGACCTAGTTATATATTTATACACATATATTTGGTAATCAAGCTTTGAAACAAACTATTACAAGTGATCAAGGGGCATCCGAACATAAAAAAAGAAGAAGTCCAAAGGCACTGATCCATAATAAGGAAAGACAAAGGGCAAAACTGAAGCAAATGGAAGAACAAAGAATACAATAGGACCCAATAACAGAGACAAGCATTGAGCTCTGTTTGGCTCAAAGCGTGCCCGGTAGCGGTGCGCGTTTTCTCACTTGCTGGTGTTCCAGGACCGTTATTGGTCCGATTTGAAGCTAAGCTGGACGAGGCTGAGCTATGCAATGCCAAACAAATATTATTTATTCTACGGCCGCATGGGTATGTAGAATTTGCCTTATTTGACTTAGGCGACCGTGGAGAGCAGAAATCAGCCTCACACAGGTCCTTGTCACTTCGGCCCTAATCAAAGGGCTCTGTTAACTTAGTAAGTGCTATTTTTGGTATTTTCTGTTAAAGCGAGAGATGTCTCGCAATGGTTCAAGGAAAAGTAACTTTCTCGTCATTAACTATAACAGTAGATGAAGATCAGTTATAAGACTTGGCTGTTACAAGGATTTGGTCCTAATTCCTAAGTGTAGCCTATCATTAACCAACTGCAAGCTTACTTTAAAACTATAGCTTGTAAAGCTGAATCGAAACTAAAACTACAACATTAATGGAAAGAAAGCAGTAAATTTCTCATGGATGGCTGAGATGGTCTTCCAGTTGGCATTTAACATGTGGTGAGGGAAAGCTAAGACTTGATGGGACACACTTTACAGAAATTCTAAGGTCTTGAAGAGTCTGTTTATTGCTGGTTTGTGATATATTTGGAGGGAGAGAAATTCAAGGCTTCATGGTTCTGAATCTTTGTCTCCTGATACTGTGACTAGACTTTCTCTTATGGAATGTCTTGAAGTTCAGAATGCTACTCTTGATGATATTCTTGTATAGCTTTTGGTTGTTTGTTCTTCTTTTGTATTGGAAATGGGCCTTCTCATTATTTGTTTTTTAGCTTGAATTAGTGGCCTATTTGTCTTTTCTCTTAGGGTATGCCCTATGTGAACCTATACTTCAATTCTTTATCTTAATACAATACAACACCAATTATGAAAAAAAAAAATTTAAAATAAAAATAAGCCTTGATGGGACACTTTAACTGTCGCATTCAATGAAAGGAGTGGGCGCCACTCCTGATGTGACAGCTTAGACTTCTGATTGTGGATTTCAGGCACTCTAGGGTCCATCCGCAGAACCCATCACTCCTCTCACTTCAACTTAGAGCAGTCCCATCGTGTTGTTATGGCCAATGTTATGGAATTCTTTATCTTGTAGCCGTTGAATCGTCATGGGAAGAAGTTCCAATGAAAAGGTATATCGTTATTATGTGGCCAAAGAGTTTGTCTCTGATTGCTGTTGATTTGGGCGAGGACTCTTTGGAAATGGCCTTCTCCTTGTGAGCAAAGTGGTTACGTACTCCTTAGATCTAGCTGTGATACTTGATTATGGGCCTCCCTCTGGGCCGCGCAACCAAATTACTAATTTGGGTGCAAACATATTGTCTCACTTTTTACTGATGCTATCGGCCGCTCGTGAGGATTGCTTAAAATTCGAATTTCCCTCTTAAGCATTGGCGCCAAACACCGGTTATGTGGACAACATGTGGCAACTTTGTCCATGAAGCGATATGCCAACTATCCTGATCCACGTGACACTGCCCTATTGGCCTTGCATTTAATGCTTCTGCACGATCGTTGCTTCAGACGCCCCAGTTTCCATCATTGAACCACTGTCATGACGAGTGTTACAGTCCTAAAAGCCTTGGGTCTCTAGAGATAATTATAAAACCTGAGTTAGTTAGAATTTACTTTTTCTACCTCCTCTACTTTGCTTTCTTTGTACTCTGACCCTCTCTGTAGTTTCAGACGATCTTCTGCAACTTTTGGCAATCCTGCAATATCTTTGCTTGTCGCTTCCGTTCCTCCGATCATTGCCATCTACTATAGGAGAACTCTTCACCGTTCTAGGCTCCGTAATTCGTGCTGTGGTTTGTAAGTGTTTCTTCTCTTCTCCATCGTTTCTGTTACTCGGAGCTTTGAGGAAATGGATCAAAGGGGTTCTCCAATCATTATCCTCTGTGGCCGTTTAAAATGGAGTCTCTTCTACCATTGGTCTGCTTTGTCCGGCCTTAAGTTGATCCTTCCTTTATCTCTATGCCTGCGCCCCAAGGAAGGGAGTCCAAGTCTAATGGGGTCTTGCATTGCGTAGAAGGCAAGCTTCTCTTTTCTATCTTGACAAATCTTTTGGCCATGCCTTGAGGGACTCTAAAGTCTGAGGCGATTTGAGTCAAGTCATTGGCTTCTTCGATATAAGCTCTGGGAACATGCTCAAGGACTATCTCATCAAAGTTTCTGGCTAGATGAGAGGTTATAGAGTGAAATTGTCGGAGGTTCCAACTTTCACACTTAAATCTGCCTAGGAGCTGCTGAATCAACAGTAGCTTGGAGTCTCCTTTCACATGGACTTTTCTTGTTTCCATTTCCATCAAGATTTCAAGGCCGATGATACCTGGTTGCTTGAGCATTCAAAATCCAAGAAAAAGGAAAAACACGCTAGGATTATTAGGATTCTAGTAATGTGATTGGCAAATTATTAGGATTCCAGGCCCAGATGGTTTCACTATGAAATTTTTGTTGGAGAGTTGGGAGGTGGTTCGGTACGAGGTTATGGGCACCTTTCATGTGTTTCATTCCACGGGGCGGTTTGAGAAATCACTAAACGCATCCTTTATTGCCCTTATTCCTAAGATGGGTGGTGCTTTTAAAAAAAGGGGATTAGACCTATTAGTCTGATTGGGTGCATCTATAAACTCATCGCAAAAGTCCTTGCGTTTAGATTGAGGGAGGTGCTGGATGGAGTTATTTATGAGTCTCAGAATGCTTTCATCGGCGGTAGACAGATCTTGGATTCCGCCCTTATTGCCAGTGAATGTGTGGATTCTAGACTTTGCAGTGGGGCTCCTGGTGTTCTTTGCAAGCTGGATATAGAGAAAGCTTATGATCATGTCTGCTGGATTTTCCTGTTCTATCTGTTGGAGAGGATGGGTTTTGGTGAGAGATAGAGGAAATGGATTGTTACATGTGTTTCCACTGTCAGATTTTCGGTGTTGGTGAATGGGTCTCCTACGGGGTTTTTCGGTAGTTCTCGCGGCCTGAGGTAGGGGACCTTCTCTCCCCGTTCCTGTTTATTATTGTTATGGAGGCTTTTAGTAGGTTGATGAGAAGGGCGGTTGACTTGGGTTTCATTAGGGGCTTCAAGATCGGCCCTGACTCGGTTCAGCAGATGGAGATCTCTCACTTGCTATTTGCGGTTGACACTATTGTTTTTTGCGAGTCAGAGGTGTCCCAGTTGAGGTATTTGAGATGTGTTTTGGTTTGTTTTCAGGCTGTCTCTAGGTTGAAAGTCAACGTGGGTAAGAGTGTTCTTGTCCTTGTGGGGGAGGTCCAGTAGGTGGACACTCTGGCGGCTATTTTAGGGTGTGGGACGCAATGCTTCCCTATCTCGTATTTGGGTTTGCCGCTGGGGGACTCGGCCAATAGGGTGGGAAGTTGGGACTCGGTGATTGAGCTGGTCGAGAGAAGATTAGCTGGGTGGAAAAAGCAATATCTTTCTAAGGCTTGAGGCCTTTGTGGTCTTTTATTTTTTTGGGTTCCGCTCCCTTTCTGAGCGTTTTTTATAAAATTTTTATTTATAAAAAAAATATCTTTCCAAGGGTGGTAAAGTTACGTTAGTGAAAAGTACTTTATTAAGCCTCCCAACGTACTTTCTTTTGCTTTTTCGGGCTCCAGCCTCTGTTGTTGGAAGACTTGAGATGCTTCAATGAAACTTCCTTTGGGGGGGTCGCGGAGAGGAGTTTAAGTATCATCTTGTCAGATGGGAGCAGGTTTGCAGGCCTTTTCAGTTGGAAGGGCTTAGGATTAGGAGATTGGCCCCCTTCAACAGTGCTCTTCTTGGCAAGTGGCTTTGGAGATTCAGAAGGGAAAGGCGTAGATTATGGATAAGGGTTATTTCGTGTTGTTTTGTTTGGGGGGGGGGGGGGGAGGGGAGAGAGTGGGTGATCAACTTGGCTAGGCACCTCTGCTAGTGGAGTGGGGGTGTGGAGGGCTATTGGGAAGGGGTGGGATGAATTCTCCAAACACATTAGATTTAGAGTTTGGGATGGAAGGAATGTCCGGTTTTGGGAGGACTCCTGGTGCGAGGATAGGCCTTTGGCTCTTTTGTTCCCAAGGCTGTTCAGGATTGCTGTTGATAAACATGCTATGGTTGCTAATTGCTATCGCCTTGATAGCGGAAGGTTATTTTGGGATGTGTGTTTCCGGCGATCTTTTCAGGATTGGGAGTTGGATGATGTCACCGGTTTGTTGGCTTTCTTATACAGACAGGAGGTGGAAGGCACCGGGGCAGATTCCCTCATTTGGGTGCCTTCTACAGAGGAGATGTTCCAGGTTTGGTCCTTTTTTGCGTGCCTCTTTGGTTTTCATGGTTCTACCTTCCCGTGGAAGATGGTGTGGCTATCTAAGGCGCCTCTTAGGGTGGTCTTTTTTGTGTGGACTGCAGCTTGGAGTAAGATTCGGACAATTTGAGGAAGAGAAGACATATCATTGTTAATCGGTGTAGTCTTTGTAAGTTTAATGGGAAGTCAGTGGATCACCTTCTTTTGCATTGTCCTGTGGCTCACGACTGTTGGAGTCTCATTTTTGGTTTGTTTGGTATTCATTGGGTCATGCCTCGGACTTCTCGGGATTTACTGGATATCTGGAGGGGCCAATGGGTGGGGGCTCAGGCGAGAGATTTCTGGAGG